ACATGTTTAGTTTGATGGCACCTAGAAATGAGACGTGTAGAATAAAGTCATTTTGATAAGCCATCACACTTTTAAGCTTTGATCTTTTACTTCCATAAGCATTAATAACATGACACATTAACTTCTCATCTCATCATAACATTGACTATTTAAAAAGAAAACATGATTTTCAGATCCTTCTGGTTGTGTTTCTGGGTTCAGAGTATAGATGTCCCGATCCGGTCACGTGATCGGAGCCGATCACGTGATTTTCAAAAGATCGGAATCGGGAGGAAAAAAATCGGGGATCGGGATTTTTTTAGAAAAATTTTGTATTCAATGTTACAAAACAAAAATGACCATGTTCAAGTCTTAAAGTCATGTTGAAGCCTTAGTTTTGGTTTCAAATTACAGAACATCATGTATGTGTTGCTTCTTTGGGGCTTGTTTTCATAGACCTGGTTGCTTATTTCTCTCAAATCTGGCAACAGAGTGGGCAGGGCGCAGTGTCTAATTGTAGCAGTAAGCTAACAAGTACTGAAAGCTTTATTTTGTTTTGATCCAATGCTGCGCAACTGAACTGATCCAATGCTGCTGTGAAAGAAAGAAGCTATATCCATGTTGGATAGAATATCCAATTTAAATAAAAAAATAACCTTAAGGGACAACTTGAATGTTTTTTTTTTCTCTTAATGCATTGCATAAAGATCGGATCGGGAAAAATCGGTATCGGCAAATTGTCAAAATCAAATGATCGGAATCGGATCGGGAGCAAAAAAAAGGTGATTGGGACATCCCTAGTTGTGCACATTCTAACATCTGCATCAACACTGACATAACGCCTGAACTCACCCTGTATAAGTCCACAAATCAGATTGGCTAAGGCATTGTAAAAGAATAGCACAGCTGTACATAATCATTCTCTGTTACGCCCCTGTAGAGCTGAAATACTTTGGTCCTCAGGGGGCCATACAGCGAAAGACTCTAAACTGCGCTGTCATGCCAATTGCGTAAGACCCAAATGAGAGAAGACAGCTGTGTGTCGTTTCTCTGCTCCGACTGCAACGTCTGAAACTACAGCTCATGGCTCAATGTATCCTCGTTTGTGCATTCCTATTATAAAAAGGTGCCTTACATTATGCATTATGCATTAACTCTTATCAAGCCATGAAAGTCTCACTTACTTAAGCAGGAGTTCAGTGCACTGTCTCTGAGGGGCGAAGCAGGCGATGGCACACTTTGATCTCGATGCCGGTGTGGAACTGCTTGTTCCTCATGTCCCAGACTCCCTGGATCGGTGTGGCTATTGCTTTGTTCTGAACATTGGAATGACACTAGCCTTATTATTATAGTGCTAGTCACTGTACAGAAAAACATTCCAATTACACATATGACGTAACACATCGAACAGGAGATCGACATACCCTGCCTCCGTACAGAATGGAAGGTGCTTGGAGGACACGGCCGTTCACTTCTGTCATCTCGTCCCTCACCATCACTCCAAACTCACGAACGTAAGGGTCGTTGTTGAAGTTGGCACTCCTCATCTGAAGAAAAACAACAACAAGCCAGTTAAATAGAAAGATGACTGGCTTCAGTATTTCATAAAAGTTAAGCTAAGTTTGACACTACAGGTTCAAAGTGTCTCAAAGAAATGTCAATCATTTTTCAAAAACATTCACAAATATTGTTTATTCTCATTTCAAATAAGCCCAATTTTCTAAGCATAATACTCAATGTGTCTCTGTGGCAATGTTTCTATCTAATGCAGAAGATATCTAATGTATATAACTATTATGACTCAAAACTATGGTACTATGAAATGAGCTCTCTACTACAGTAGCCAATCAGCAAACACCTCTGAGCCTTTGCTAAAAACTTGGCAACATATGCAGCAACTTTCCCTTATCTCACCTCGGCCTATTTTTGAAAATAGTAGAACAAACAGGCCACGCAGATGCTGAATCTTGAACAAAAATGTGGTCTTCTCTTTGGCTGCTACCAATTTAAATGATTTTCTCCTAAGTTTGGACTTATTATTGGAACATTGTGTACGTGGCACTTAGAGGAAACTGCCTTCAATAAACATTTATTTGAAAACAACGTACCAATTTACTGATCTCGTCCTGACGGTCTGGGGCCGATCGGGCTGTGGCACGAATCATAGTGGAGGTCTGATTGTCTGTCAGCTTTTTGATGCAGCGCTGTCCTGCCACTATGTTACACACCTGGAGAGGACACACATAAAACATGACAGGATTAAAAAGGGGAACATCCACAGCAAGCGGGTCAAGTTAGTAAGTTAAGGAGTTTAGTGGTGCTCACCTCTAGAGGTAGGTAGGTGTGCTTCTGCTCCTGTCCCACCTGAAGACACGGGAGGTGGGGGTATCTCAGGATGAGCTTGTACTTGTCTTTGAAGTACTGTGCTACTGTGCATTCAATAGTTTGGCCATTTTCCTGCTGCAGGGGGAACCTGAGGGAAGAACACAACAGAACATTAGGTCAAACACAGCGAATCACATGGGCATTAAAAAAAAAGCCAATCAAATCTTCTAGACTGATCAGTCGATTGCATTAATGGAGCCCAGTGAGCAAAGACCGGGGGAATGACTAATTAAACACTCAGCATGTTTGAGACGTATACAGTAGCACTGACAGAACTGTTACTATCATATCTATTTTAATGATTTAATGTGTTTAACTGAACTGCTGAAACAATTGTTCATTCAACATTCATCTGCTACTTAGTAATTATTTATCTGTTATATAATATATCATTCCAATAACTTGTATATAGACTCGTATTGCACTATTCCACTTTGTTTTTTCTCACTTTCTTTAAAACTATTTGTCTTTTTTGTACTACTTTTAATATAATATACTTTAATATTGTTTTAATATTGTCTGCTTATCTGTATTATTGTGTTGCATTGTTGCAGAAGCCTCTGACCTAAGATTTTCAACGACATAATTACTCTGTAGCTGTGTTAGTTTGACAATAAAGAACCTTGAACAAAGATGAGACAGAAGAGCTCTCTCACGTTTGGTGGCTGGCTGGTCTTCTGGTCACGTTGCACACTCTGTACTTCCTCTTCATCTGCCCACAGTGAGTGATCTCCACCTTCAGGCCTGGAAATCACATTGAACCGAATTTAAAAACAAAAACAAACTTAAAAGATTGAGAAAGAAAAACTTGAATAGCCACAACAACGTGAGCTTTGGAGATTTCCTCACCTTTGATTTCCTTTGTAAATTTCACTCGTTGGGAGTCTGTTAAGGGCTTCTGTTGTTCTTCAATGCTTTTGAAATCCAGGACCTCACACATGAACTCAATTACAGGCTGGGCTTTGTAGAATGCAGTGGCAGAAACTGAAAACAAAAAAACAAGCACACAGAGGTGAGATTCATAGAAAGATCTTAACTTCATTCAACTTGTGCACAATCAAAAAGGAAAGTTACCGTCGATGTTGAGCATCATTTTCCAAAGGGACGGCCTGACAGACTGGTGGAAGCCGAACCACACCTCTCTGCCTCCACCGAGGGGGTTCGAACATCCCTCTGAAGGGGTGAAGAAAGAGCGGCCCACAGGGGTGTACCTGTAACAGAGGAGATGATAAGCCTGGTTAACATGATCTGAGAAACAATTGATGAAAGAAAAGTGAAATAGGTCATTAAACAAGCATAAGGCTCACTATGTATTTTAAATGTATGACAAATATGCCAAAAACAGGGACAATCATCCACAAATGAAGCCATGTTGAATAATTAAAACTCACCTCATAGAGGGTAAATGTCTCATGACCACATCCAAGGCTTGGACGGTCTCGAAGGGGACGCTGGGTAGCCGCCCGGCCAGAGCCTCGTGCAGCGCCTGCAGGCTCACGCAGGAGACCCACTTGATGGAAACTTTGAAGCTGCGGTCTTTGCCTTCACCAGGAATGGTAACCTCAAGCTCCACCTGTGTGGTGAATGGGCAAGAAAATAAAGCAATTTTCCAAAAGTGGAGATGTTATTGTTGCATGTTGCCCTTAAAAAAAAGGTACATACTTTGTCTCTGCCTATGGGCAAAGGCATGGCGGTGTACAGATTCTTCCTCCCGTCGTACACAGGCTTACGATCACCAAAGATCTGCGTTTTAAAGTGCTGGACCATGTGCTCCACAATTTCACTGAGGACAAAATAAAACAAATAAATAACGTTTAAAAAAAATGGTCTTCCACGTGCCAGGAGCATCAGATGAAATATACACATATACAAATAGACCTACCGGTTGACCCTCCTGGGGCATTTCTCAGGCTTAATGTCGATGTCATAATGGTAAACCTCCAGTTTGGGGATTTCCATCTCGAAGAAGTTGGCTTGGAGCTTGATGGTCCTGCCCATGGTGCCAAAGTCTGGCCGAGAAGGTGGCTTGAACACATATTCTGGCACTGGGGAGGATGGCGGGTCTAAATCAGGGGGGTCAAAAGTGGGAAAGTGGCAATTGCAAAGTAAGTACCGTATTACACAGGCATCAGAAATGTACCAGTTAGTATGTTGTGACCCCATAAATAGATAGAGAATGAATAGAAAGTTAATGTCACAGTTTCTCAAATAACTCATTATGGAAACCATTTTTTTAAACAATTCAAAGCCTCAGAAAAAGTCAGAAATTGTTCATTCTACATCAAAACAGAGATTAAAAGTGTTCTTTAACATATGCAAAAATTACCCAGGTAAAGTGTTGAACTACAGTTATAGGTCATCAAATGTCATGCGGCGAACTCAAAAGGCCCAATGTTTTCCCCCCAAAAAAGAAGGGAAATCTTTGTTCGGGATTTGATAGGCAGAAGTTATTCCACCTGAGTTGTGAATAAAATAAATATGGTGTCATCCATTTGTGTGTATTACCCTGTAGGAGGTACACTAAGCCTTCATCTTTGATAGACAGGCCAAACCAATAAGCTCCATATCTGCAACTTCAGATATTACAGTGAGACTGGCAGGGCTCCCCCTGAATGCCCCTCAGTGCCTTATCTTTGTGACCCAGTCCGTCCAATCAAACAGAAAAACACCCAAATAACTTAGTAACATACGGTGGCTATAATTTAAACCTTCAGTGTGTAAAAGTGTACTGCTACCCTGGGCACGGAAATGAGGTGCATTGACAGGAAATGTAATATCTACAATGTTGACGCCTTCATCGACGCCAAATTTGATGTCCAATTTCTTGAAAATCTATTTGTATTCAGTCAGAAAGTCAAATTGTAATTCAAATAAATATACTGGGCTGCTTGAATGGTGTAAAAGGCATGATGTTTCCACTTAAACTGGACCAATTCTGGGACCTGTTTAAGGCTTGGAAGATCAAATCTAGGGAAAAGCTTACCAGAGCCTGTTGACCCGGAGGAACGGGGGGGTGCCTCCTGCATCTCCGTGGCTACAGAGGACAAAATAAGGTGTTAGGAAGAGTTGTAGAAATATACATTTAGGTAATGCATGACAGAAATAGGTTTACTGTCAAATTAAATTGACCCATTTCTTTATGGAGCAAGTGACAAGAGGCAGCATTAACACTCATCTATACTTCCATTGCATACACTTGCTTCATTACAGCATGGCTAGCCCTCTTATCGCTTCCACAACACCATCGTCCACAATCAAGGGCGACTTTCTCTAAACTCTTATCAATATGCACACAGAAGGCATTAAGCAAGCTGGCAATCTAACTCTGCAGAAGCCTCCCTTTCTCCTGAAAAGACCCTTATCCTACACGCATATTCATATTTTAGTAATATAAAGCAACCAAAGACCCCTAAAAAAATATAAAATTGAAGAGAACATACATTGTAGTGATGCAATTGTTTTTGCTGCTTGATCCTCTGGATAACATGCAAATGACATGAACATAAAATTATCTTTTATTTTAACATTATTAGTCTCATTGCCATGGGTGTCAACTGTTACAATGTTACTATAACTAGCCTCAGCCAAACTTCATATAACCAATGTCATTGAGTCTATCATGAGTCTCTTAGACAGACCAATTTGTTGTTTTATATCGTTAAAAACGATGCAATATGACTGGAATTACCAAATCGAAGTTGGATACTGTTAGCTAACCATAGCTAAGATTGTTGATGAGATTAGATAGCATGGTCGGCCGCTAAATAATGCTTTACTTATGTGCTTTAGTGGAAAACTGAAAGATACTTGTAACAAATAATAGCCATTTCCTATCAGTATATATGCTGTATTAAGTAGATATACGCTACACGATCACACTTCGTGATATAACATAGGGAAGCTAACTAACCACAAGTTGGGAAAACGAGGCACCGCTGAAGCTAACGTGGCTAACAGGAGCTTCTTGTTGTTGCACGCTAGCTAAGCTACTAATGCCTTCACTTAAGACTGGGCGACATATTCTTTTAAAAAGCATATGTTGTTTTTATTATAACTAATTAGCTTTAGGAAACAATATTATGTGTGCTATCAATGTAAACATAGCAGCTAAAAGCGTCCAGTAGCGTGTTAATGCCGCTAGCTGCATCACTTAGCCGGTGCTAACGATAGCCGCACCACTTACCTCCAGTAGAGGAATACATTTTGTCGACTTTTTAAGCGTGTGTCGTGGACGTACAGATACTCCACTTTATTTAGGACAAATTCCGCCCAAACTCATGCGGGATCGAAAAGTATATATATGTACAAGACCGAAGGAGGAAGCCCAGTTCAGAAAAAAGATATTTAGTTAGCCGAGTGGTAAATATTTTGAGTCTCTCATCCTCGACACGGCCCCATCCCCCCAACACACACAAAACGGGAGCTGAGAGAAAAGATAGCACCTAGAACACACATGCAGCACAAGAGGACTCCCTCCCTTCTACTTCCGGCTTTGGTTAATTCCCGTTAAGCAGCCAAAGCCTTGTTTCCACCATTTATTTTTGTTGTATAGTTTTATATATGTATCTATATATATATATATTTTCATAAATTATGCATTTTACGACAAAGCGCAATAATATTGATTGTTGTAAAGCTATAATCTGTGACACCTGCTATAGCTTCAAACCTCTGTAAATGAAATATATGATATGCCCAGTATGCACTGTTTTTTTAACAAGTTATTTCCAGTGTAGATAAAATGACAAAACACATTCAAGTATTAAACTTTTAACCAGTGTTTATTTTAGGCGTTTTCACACACGTGAAATGCTTTAATTTTGCAACAACGGTTAACTAAGATGTGAATAGGAGGGGAACTATCCTGTTAGCTGAAGTATACAATGAAGTGAGACGCAAGCTGCGCGCTCTCTGTCTAACCCGAAGATGAATTAAATAACCAGCAACGGTAGTTTTCTTGAAAAAATGGTATATGCATTGTCTTGTATCAATGAAGTTAAATTACTTTCTGGTTTAAAAAAAAAACACCATGTATTTAACCAAAGTTAGTAAAAACCAGCACCGGATGTGGCTTCGAAGAGGGGAGTGTTTCCGGGTCACCAAAGTCAGGTAAACTAATTTGAAAGTATTTCAACCATCGCTGCTCACCTGCCTCTGTTTACCAGTTCAGTTATTGACGTTGAAAGCATTGCATCATGTACAGAAAGATCAAGTTACATTTGTTTGTTGACATTACTTGTCAGATTAAGCGGTAAAAACTGTTATGGCAGGTCTCCCCTTATTACTGGATATGTTTAATTCTACTATAAATAAATGCATTTGGCTCGAGGTGAAATAGAGAGTGAAGAACGCAGGTAAGCTTTTAATTCTTGATACAGCTTAAAAAAAAAATGTTTTCTTGCAAAAATAATTAAGTATTACAAAAGCTATTTATAAGTTAGGTCTTATTTGTATTGGCAAAAATTACTTATAGTAGAATGTTATCGACTGGACTATTACACATCCGACTTAATGCAAATGTGAAGTGAATGCAGTTCAAAAAACTTTTCTCAGGCCTCTTCCTATGTACTTATACGGTGTAGCTTCAATGTATGTATGATTCTGGAAACAATTTAATTATGTAATACAATGTGTATTGTTATGATGTTTTTTGGAGGTGGGAAGTAACTCAGTAAATTTACTCAAGTACTGTACAATTTTGAGATACTTGTGCTTTACTCAGTTTACTTCGCCCTGTTCAAATTAAGCTAAATTTGGTCATGAGGCCCTTACTTTTTGTACTTTAAGTACATTTTGATGCTAATACTTATGTACTTTTACTTGAGTAGCATTTTGAATGCAGGACTTTTACTTGTAACATAGGCCAACAACAGCTTAAAAAAAAACGTTTCCCTCAAAGAAAAAACCAAACATGCCCTGTTGTCGTGAGAGAGAAAGTGCAGAAGGAAACATCCATTGAAACTCAGTGTGCTGCTCTGTGATGCTAGCTCAAGCACTTGGCATTTCATCTTGGGTGCAAGTTCATCAATGTTTGGGCTCAGGCTCTGAGCTGAGGACACCCTCATGATTGAGTGAAGGTGTGCGTGCAATATACCGGCGGGCCAGATCTAGCAGTAATTACAAATGATCCTGCGGGCCGAAATTAAATCCACCAGGGGCCTGATTTGGCCCCCGGGCCTTGAGTTTGACACATGTGCCTTAAAGCCTTTAGGACAAATTGTTTTATATGTGTTAGTTCATCTTTTGAAAAGTTCATATTTTAATTATTTTATTAAAAAATATTTTTAAAGGTCTTTTATTGTTTCATGTCCTATATATTATGTTGCATTGTTGGAGGAGCTAGGGGTTTAGGATTTTCTTTGCCATATCTACACTGTAGCTCTGTATATATGACAACAAAGCCCTTGAACATTAAGATCAACTTCCTCATCCTTTTTCTTGGTAAATAATGTTTCTTGGTTTGCCACTCGGTTGTGAGTAAAATGCAGTTCCTCAGTTAGTCCACTGGTCGGCGCTGTTCACCACTGAATGTGCAGAGCGTTGATTTAGCATTCTCTGCTGCAGGTTTTAAGATGAGATAATATCCGATTAATCTTTAATGATGCAGTTCGGGTTAGTTGGTCAATTTTGGCATTATCGAAAACACCAATCAAAGAGCAATTTGCTTGATTGTGAAAAACTGCTCGAAGAAAGTAACGAGTGTTAGGTGTAGAAAATGTTTTATATAGCACTAAATATATTTGATCCACTGATAAATTGTTGAACATTTAACACTGTTAGATCTAAGACTATGTTTTCAGGAATGGTATAGTAGGCCCAAAATATAACGAATTTGCTCAATTAATACGTTATAGTATTATGTATGTATTGTTATTTCAATTTACTACGAGATGATCTGATGTTCTTGTCATTTTGGGGAGATTCTGTTGTAAAACAAATTATAATAATGTGATTCTGAAAATGCATAATTAAAGAATAATAAATACTGTAGTAATAATCAGAAGGCCTTTATGAGGTTTAGTCCCTCTAATTCATCCTCGTGAAAACGTGGATTGATGACACGGCCAACACTTTAATCGCTCTCATTGATTGATATTATAAAAAACATAACAATGCAGCCTCATAGCCCGGGTGGTTTCCCCCCTATAAGAAAGCTGGCTGAGTGAATTGGGTGTAGCTGTGTCTGTGTGCGCCTTGGCCAATGGAACCAGATCCTCCCTGCAGTGCGTAAGAGCGCGATTTAGGATTTAACCAAGTCTTTGCTGCGGGGCTGGCTGCAGTCTTCACCAGAGCCCGACGGCCCGAGAGCCTTTCAACAATGCCAGTGTAGTTTTCACAGCACTTTGGAGTCAGACTGCCTCGCTTTTTTTTGTTGCTAATCAAAGAAAACACACACGCTTTCCCTCTCGAAGTATGACTGGAGTATTTGACCGAAGGATCCCGAGTGTGAAAACTGCAGATTTCCAGAGCTCCTTTCAGATTTCCACCATGCACCATCCGTCTCAGGAATCTCCTACTTTACCCGAGTCCACCGCCACGGATTCTGGCTACTACAGTCCCACCGCTGGAGTCCCTCACGGCTACTGCTCGCCCAGCTCCACCTCGTACGGGAAGCCTCTCAATGCCTACCAGTACCAGTACCCGGGTGTAAACGGATCCGCTGGAAATTACTCGACAAAATCCTACACTGATTACAGCTCGTACACGACCCCCGCCTACCACCAGTACGCGGGGACTTACAGCAGAGTGCAAGCCCAGCCGAGTCCGCAAGGTAAGGCCCACACATTTCCCCATTATAATAATAAATAAAGACCAGGTAATTAGTCCAGTCATACCGAATAAGCGTATTGAAAAATGTGTCCTTGTTTTATCATTTATATCTATTTTCCTTTTGCATTATAAAAAGTGCAATACGAAGCTGAAGGAATAAATAAGAATACTTTGTATTTTGTTATGTTTTCCAAAGAATGCATCTGTTTTTAAAGATATGATTTTAAAATATAAAGGAAATACATGGCTATTGTTTTTTTCCAGCCTAGAATGCATTTATGAAATTGGATTTTCTTTGAATTCACGAGATAATATAGGCGACAACACCCAGAATAATATTTTAAATACAATGCAAATGTTACATGCAAACGTGCTTATTCTTGCTGTCATTATTTTTAACAGAAAAAGAAATCAGCGAACCCGAAGTGAGGATGGTGAACGGCAAGCCGAAGAAAGTGAGGAAACCCCGGACTATCTACTCCAGCTTCCAGCTCGCCGCCCTGTCGAGGCGCTTTCAGGGCACGCAGTATCTGGCGCTGCCGGAGAGAGCCGAGCTGGCCGCCGGGCTGGGACTCACGCAAACACAGGTGAGATTTAAATCAACATTTGTGTTGGACATTTTCATAGCTTGAATTTTTTTCAATGCCGCTTCGTTTAAATAAATAATAAGGACCGTTTTGGTGCGTTATTTCTGTGCACCTTTACGCACCGCTCCTCCTCTGAATCTACTGTTCCTGATGTTATGAGATATTAATGCTGCTGTTTTTTCCTCTTCCAGGTAAAAATCTGGTTCCAGAACAGGAGATCAAAACTGAAGAAGATCATGAAAAGCGGAGAGCTTCCACCTGACCACAGCCCCAGCTCCAGCGACCCCATGGTGTGCAACTCTCCACAGTCCCCGGCTGTTTGGGACACACAGGGCCCCTCCAGGCCGCACAGCCTGCAGCCACAAAGCATCAACACCACGGCTTCTAACTTTTTGGAAAGCTCGGGCTCATGGTACACCTCAGCCGGCAGCTCCATGGCCGCCCACCTGCAGACCCCCAACTCGATACAGCACTCGTTGGCTCTTGGAGCAGGGACGTTATATTGAAAAAACCCTGTTGTTCATTTCAAATCTTTTTTTTTATCCTTCTATGGGACTCGTGTTCAAATTTCAGAGGAATATGCAATGTATTTGATGACAGTCATAGAAGAAACGTGTAAAATGTGTAAATGTGTGCATGTAATTTATTGCATTTTGGAAGACTATTAAACGTTTAAATGGACAATGGAATTTTGAATTCTCCGGCCTCACTGCAGTCTCTTGTTATTTAACCTTCTATTATTTACACTGAAAATCACGACGAAGACTCACACAAATAATGTTTGTGAGCCTCAGGTGACATTTCCACACAAGGTTGTAAATCACAGCTGCTCCGTATTGAGATGAATATAGAAAACGTCGACATTTGTATTTGTTTTCCGCTTGAACAACTACAATTTATATTTATTCTGTCATGATTTGTATTAAATATTACGCAGACAGAATTAACAATTGTCCTGAAGATGGGATGAAAAAGATCTGCCTTTTCGTGAGGAATGTGCCTTGATTTTCCCTCAGACCAGGTTAATTTAAATCTGCATTTGCAATGATGTGGAATAAAAACAATTACAGTTAAAATGTAT